TCCTTCGCCAACTTTATTCGTTTCATCGCCTTCGGCAGCTTCGTAGCATTTGAATGGGCATGCGACGACGCATTGCAAATTCTGCACGCGGGACGACAAGAGAAAAAAGAGGTGGCACGCTATCCGCACGTTTTTTTGTGTGGTCAATTTGCAATTTCTGCTGCTTGTGCGGTGGGCATTTCGCCTCCCCCGGCAGCAAAGGTGCGTTCCTGGTTCCTTGTGCAATATTCTACAAAACAGTGAAGAAATATTTCGTGAGAAAAGACAAAAAAAGGAGATGGGATGCTGGTCTATGTAAGGCAGAAAATATAATACGAACTTGCAGACGGTCTGGAGAAAAGTGAAGGTGTAGAATCCCTTTGGATCGATTCGATTATGCGTAAGGGCAACAAATTACGTGTTGGGGCTTTCTATAGACCTCGAAACAGCTGCCAAGATGTGAACACATATGTGAGGAAATCGGCCGAGGTGTGAGTGGAAAATGAAAAAAAGGAGACTGTGGGCGACCTCCCCGGTAACAGGCAAAATTTGACAGAAGGCAGTCGTGTGGATTTGACGGTGACCGTGGGTGGCAAGAGATAGCTTGAAGGAAATCAAGATTTATAATAAAGCCCGACCTGACCAAACATATTGCAGAGTGCTGAATTAATGCGCTAGTGCTTTAGGTCATCCTCTTATGCTAATGTTCAATAAGTCACTGAGTTGTTGGGAAGTACCCTGCGACTAGCGCAATTCCAATGTAGTACCAACATTTAGGAAGGGGACTGAAAAAAGCGTCGGCAACCACAGGCCTGTCAGCCTTACCTCACTAGTGTGTAAGATCTTAGAGAAATTTATCAAGGTTCATTCAGATACGTTAAGATAGCTATCATTTGATGAATAGTATTAGTAAGCATGGTTTTTTCTTCAGGTAGGTCATGGGTGACAAATGTTGTGGAGTTCATGGAGCATGTTACTAGTCAGATAGATGAAAGCAATAGTTAAGATGCCGTTTATCTAGATTTTAGTAAGGCGTTTGATAAGGCGTCACATCAGGGACTCTTATGTAGGTTAAAATTGCGTGACACTGAGGGGAAAATCCTCCGCTGGTTAGGGGCTTAGCTGCAAGACTGGAAACAAAAATAGTACTAAATGTTACTCAATCTGTGGGAGTCAGAGTGGGGTTCTGACGAGGTCGATGATGGTCCCTTTGCTTTCTGCTTTTCCTGAGAGTAATACTGAGATACGATTACAAAGTAAGGTGCTTAAATTTGCTGACGATATGATTTTGACAGGGGTATTGAAACATGCAGACCAGGTGAAACTTGACTTAGAGCAAAAAGTGAAGTGGGCTGCTCTGTGGCGAATATCATTTAATTACATGATGCGTGCAAGGTGACGCCTTTAAGTAGCTCTGGCAGCGAGGGCATTACCTACACAATGGGAGACCGAGAATTGGACAAGACCAAATTAGGAAAAAACCTAGTGGTTATCATTTCCTGGAATTTCAAGACTGAGAGTCAATGTGGGGCTGCTTGGAACAAGGAACTACCGATGCTGGGACCTTTTAACAAAAATGTCCATAACAAGAACAGGAATGCCGTCAAAAAGTTGCAGTTGGCTTCTGGCAGGCCGCACCAAAAGTTTGTGTACATGCATGGCCACCATGCTTCCGAAAAAAATATAGATAAGCTGGAGAGAGTGCAACGAAAAGCAGCTAGGATGATAAATGGGATTGGCAACTTAGATTATAAGGCTAGTATTAATGCCCTGTATTTTTATTCATTGAAATATCGTAGACTTAGAGGGGATCTGACAGCTTTCAGTATTATGCAAGGGATAGACAAGGTAGACCTACAATGAGAGGTCGTAGGAAGTCCCTCTCTAGTAGCATTTCAAAATCGTTTGGACGAGTTCTATCGCATGAAGTATCTCATTTATATCTAACTTCGGGCAGGTCACGTGGTTAGATTTATGTCAAGGATGGGTGCGGAACCTGGGGAAGACCATCCTGGATGTACCCTTGAGGCTCTTTGTCGGCCACAAGGGCACATCGAGTTTTATGTCTTTATGTCTTTATGAAACATATCATTTAACTGTCGCCAGGTTGCGATATTATTGGAGACCACCGTGCTTCGATCCTATCCAATACATGAACAGCCCAAATGCAGCCCCGTTCTCAGTAACATTCCCCGGTGTCACTGAGGCAACATCGCGCAACCTTCATGTCGAAGCCCTCTAGTTAGTCACTGATCCGACCGGTTCGAATTTCATTCAACACGTTTGTGTGTAAAAAAGCCCCAAGAGAAACGATGTTCTATTTGTGCTCAACAAATTCACAAATTCGCAAAGCATTCACAAATATTTGTATCGTGCTCCTGCTTCACATTCCTCACAAGCAATCTACTTCATTTAAAATTGGAAGGGGAGTGCTTTTATCGCTCTCATTATCGGCTTAAACTTGTGCCTCCAATCTTTTTGGAGGTAACTTCCCTTTTCCATAATCATGCATATATCTGAGCTAAGGAGCCCTGCGGTGACAGCAACCAGCTAATGATAGCCCGGAAGCTCACATCGAATGCCACGTACACATAAATTAGCTGCAGATATACGGAGGCAGGGGTGTGGCTTCCTATTCAGTAGGGGGGGGGGGATTTCAGCGCCCCCCCCCCCAATGTGGGCTCCCAATGTACCAAAATCCATTTTTGGTGGAGTGAGCGGATGTAAAAAAAACTTGAAAGATGCCGATATCTGATATCAAAACGAGCCTATCAAAAATGCAAATTCACCGTTGAAGTGGTGATACACAAGCAGAACACTTCAGGAATGTCCGTATTTTTTGTTGAACTTTTTGTAAAGACGTATATATGGTCATATTACCATCCACCCAGTTAAGTATATACATATATATATATATATATATATATATATATATATATATATATATAACCAAAAACCACGATACCACACGAAGCAAATACCCCAAATACCGCACCAAATACCCCACAAAGCAGTACGTTTAAGTGCTGAACATAAATTGGTGAACACTGAATAACTGACGCGTGGCCAGCATAGCGTCCTGTCTCCGAAGAAAACGTTTTACATAAGTAAAGGGAACACTCAATAATCGGCATTCACATAAATACATAGTTATTGCCCGGGGACTATAGCAACCCGGTCCCTTCAGTTCCCACACCCTGAATAAAAACCTTTCGAATTATTCCAAAATTATCTGATGACAGCAAGGAAATACTATTCTGATTAACTTCACATACTTCATTTGACATGCCACTCGAATCAAGGTACAAGCTGCCCACGCAGAAACATTGATGCACATATAACAGGCATGTTTTGAGTCTCTGGGGAGGACCGCTTGATGAGAAATGACAGAATGTGCCCACAAAATTTGTTTGTTTTTTTAAACCAAAACCCACCCAGAAATGGGTTTTCCGCATTCCATGTTCTTTTAAAAGTTTGGGGGCACAGCCAGAAACCAAGTTGGGGAAGCCCCCACCACTGCATAGGACCCTACATACCTATTATATTGAGGACAGTAAAAAAATAGTATCCATACACATGGTGTACAGCCCAGCACTGGCCTACAATCAGTACCGGACCCATCCGTATTCATAGGTGTGCATGGTGCACCATGGTCTTTGAGGCTGGGGGCCTGACCTGATTGTGTACAAGATCAAACACTGTACGCCTCACCCATCGCGCACTCCACACAAATCTGTGCGTCCGTTCAACGCGCACCAGCGTTTTTTCAGGCCGTATCCAGTACTGCTAATTCAAAGTTTTGTCACGGAATCGGCATCCTCAATTCACATCCTTTTGACATCACGACACTTAAGTCAATGTAGTGTCCCAGAACTCGCATAGAACAACTTAATATTTCATAGACTTGTAGAAAACAATAGCGCGATTTTTTCTCGCTAGTTTTTTACAAATGGCGGTCAAATGGCCGAAAAAACCAAGGGTGGAGGTCTGGGTGGCACTTCAACGCATCAATGACGAATGGAAAATAGATACACCTTCCAAATGCATAGAAAGTTTAGGACAAAAACATTACTTGAACGGTTTTTATACAACATGATTAATCATTTTGATAAAACCTTGGCATTTCAGCTGATGTCTGCTTCAGGTCAGTCATCTAAGCTGCAAAGAGTAGCTTTAAAACGGTCCCCCACTCATTTGAAAAAAATGGCGACGGAAATCGCCAAAAGCGCATGGCGTAACAAAAAAGGAAAATGTACATATAAAAACACGATCCTTTTGACTCAAATTTTCTGGACTACGCGACCAAACTCCAAGGTATTATTTCATATGCCTATTAAATTTATGCGTTCTTGTTGACAGACGTAAAGCGAGTGTCGTGTCTAGGATGGCAACCGACATCCCTACGGTGGCAATCGACATCTCGCTACCGGCGGGGATGAAAGCACTGGGGGCTAATCTCGCGCTCGTGTTACGAGCTGCTTTTGTTGATGTTTTGTATATCGCCTTGGTTTGAGCGTGGCTGGAGATCGGTGGGTTGTGGACGGATCAAGGCACGTCAGAACTAGACCGGTGCGTCTGGAGTGCCATTTGGGATTATATTATATTTGGACTGGTTGCAGTTGTCTCCAAATAAATAATACTCCTGTCTTTACATTGTGGTGTGCTTGTGTCCCCAGGACCCGTGACCGTATGGTGTAATAGAACATTTTAGTGATGTCGTATATGTTTTTAGCATGTAGATCGCTTCCATGCTGATGCCATCTGTCAATGTTTGCCGCATTATTGTCGTCAAGTATTGTTCAGCTTGAGCATTTTTTTTTTGTATGTGAGCCTTTAATAGACGTTCTATAGGCATGTAGCTCATTTCAATCCACCATGAACTAAAAAGGGATACATTCCGGCCTTATGATTGTATTATGATACACAGATCAGGTCAGGTCAAATACAGACAGGATGACACGTGCAGGATGCACAGTATCATAGTTTCAGAGAGAAGGCATCAGAGAGTCAGAGAGTAGTTTCATCTCCTGTAGATCACATTTTGCAGGATGCAGGATATGGTGAAGGATGGGCTTTGGTTCTTCTGTTGGGTCACCTGAAATATAAAGCCAGATTGTGGCCATTGAGTGCATTACATAATGCAAACATTACCATATCAAAGGTGAGAAATGTAACCCATAGGCCAAATGCATTGTTAAGTTCTGAATGGCAGTTCATTGTGCCCTCAAAAAAATGTTTATAGATTTGACCGGTTTTGTGGTGGCGAGAATGAAAGAAAAGATAGCATGGGAATGCATAAAAAACAATAGAAATGTGTCATTTTTCTCCCAAATGTCAGAAAATTTAACACCGTGGGCCCCAGCCCCTCACTCCTCCGAACAACTTTCGGACGAAAGTGGGCCAATGATGGGGAGAAACCTGTTTGTTGGCATATTTTGGATGTAGGTTGGGTCATTTTCCCCTCAGCCTCCGCCCCCACTTCATTTTGTGGAACTGCATCCCTCGCTGACATTCGGTGACACGAAACGTCTTCACTCCGTTCCACTGTGTTCGTCTCAGCAACGGCGAACAGCACATCCCAAGCTGGTCCCCAGCAGGTAAATCACTGAATACTTTGACCTGGGAATAGCTGAGCAAGGACCTTCCCAGAGGGTGCCAATGTAGCACGAGAGCTCATAACACGAACAAGAAAATTATCCGATAGGTACAGCTCGCTTGTCAGAGTTGCGCGAGGGCTCGCTCAGAGTTACAACCAACAGAAGATCTTTGGAGAGGTCGACGATGTCGGGCGAGAGCTCGTGCACACACCCCAAACATATCTTCAGAGGGTGTCGATGTCGGACGAGAGCCCGCTAACACTCACAGATTCTCGGAGAAGGTGTCGATGCCGAACGAGAGCCGAACACTTGCTTCTAGATTGTCGGAGAGGGTGTCGATGTCGGACGAGAGTCCGCTGACACTCAACAACAGATTGTCGGAGAGGGTGTCGATGTCGGACGAGAGTCCGCTGACACTCAACAACAGATTGTCGGAGAGGGTGTCGATGGTCGGACGAGAGTCCGCTGACACTCACCAACAGATTGTCGGAGAGGGTGTCGATGTCGGACGAGAGTCCGCTGACACTCAACAACAGATTGTCGGAGAGGGTGTCGATGTCGAACGAGAGCTCGTTAACACTTGCTACCAGATTGTCGGAGAGGGTGATGAGAGTCCGCTAACACTTACCAACAGATTCTCGGAGAGGGTGATGAGAGTCCGCTAACACTTACCAACAGATTATCGGAGAGGGTGATGAGAGTCCGCTAACACTTACCAACAGATTCTCGGAGAGGGTGTTGAGAGTCCGCTAACACTCACCTACAGATTCTCGGAGAGGGTGTTGAGAGCCCGCTAACACTCACCAACAGATTCTCGGAGAGGGTGTCGATGTCGGACGAGAGCTCGTTGAGCTGGGCCGGCGCGTCGCCAGAGCCAGTCATGGCTGGCCGCCGCGCTGGCCGCTCCAGCTGTCTAATCAATGCCGTGCCGGCAGGCAGCACCGCCGCTCGCCCTCAACCTCGTACACTGCCGGCACGGTCAATGAGGGCGTCCACGGCGTGCGTGCGGCGCAGGTGGTAGATCGTCCCTAGGGACGGACTGCGAGTTTGAATCGGTACCAGTGTGATATGGCGGGAGGGCGGCATTTAGTAACGGTCGGGGACGCGGTTTCCAAGCAAACCCTTCGGGTAATGAGTATGACACAAATGAACGCGTGCATTTACTGCCCACGTACTGTACAAACAACTGACTTTTTCTTCGATATGACGTACGTCATCCATGAAACTGGACACCATTTGACTGTGTTTATCTTGCGAAGAAGTGACATCTGCAAGCCGGTTTTACGGCCTTAAGGCAGGGTTTTCCATGCTGTTCCGTGAATGCTGCATGTCCTGCACCAAATAGCCACAGACAATGGGTATGATAGCGGTCTTGAGTAAACAGGTCCCAACTGACCTCGCCTTGAAATTTATTCAAAAGCACAAATAGCATAAGCGAAAAAGCGGAAGTGGCCCGACATTTCCAACCCCCTGGAATAACCATATTGACTACATGCATTCGAAATAACTGGGGAGAGGAAAGACAAACGCTACGCATGCTGTCGGAGTAAACCGCCTCCCAGGCGACTGAGTAATAGCCCAAAGCGAGTCCGAATCAGTATCAAAACAGGGGGCATTTGGCGGAGGGGGCACCAAAAAGTGATTCCGCAGCAGGAAATCAATGAAAATTCGCCCGAAACGATTTTCTCGAAGATGATAGCAAGTGATGAGCATAACGTCATCATGAGTAATGGGTCAGTCAACACGCAATGGATACGAATGAGCTGCGGCCTTTGTTTTGGATGCGAGAACCAGCCGCCAAGGGTGCCACAACTGCGGCCGGCACAGGAGTCTCAGGGTATCATCAAGAGAGGGATGCACCATGGTCACTCGTACACAAGCGCTGACGAGCCGGTGCGGTCTACAATGCTGAGCCGGAAGGAGATTGTCCCAGAGGAGCCGCGGCAGATGACACGGGGCCTGGAGTATGCGTGCCCCTGGCAGGCAAGGCTGGAGTCCGAGATCTCCCACACTAAATTGTTGGTCAATACAGAGAAGTCCAGCACGGTCTAAGCCGAGTATTGTTTTACTGTCGCCCAAAATGAGTCAACGGACTGCTGAGCTTCGCCCAGTTTCACAGCTGACACCTGCTGTTTCGTTTGTTGTTTTGCACGCCCCGTTTTCACCACCGCAGTTACTCGAATTTACAAGTCTCGGGCTGAAGGGGCCCAAATGCACCCAACCAGGTAGTGGGTAACTGCAGCCTTATGTGATTCTAACATTTCCAGCAAGAGAGCTCCAGGGTTAGGTCTAAGAATGTTTTATAGGTTCTCCTAGGTGACTAAATTGATGTGCCATAAACGTAATCGGCTGATTGGGCTTTTTTACTTAGAATTCGCTACAGAGTTTCGGACGACTAGTTAATATGAAGTGGCCATTCCCACTAACGCCGAAAGCAGCGAAGCCATTTACTCTGCGCTGACGCACACCGCGTGGGCCATTATTTGAAGAAAACAGCGTCGCAGCAGCATGTATAGTGATTCAAGAATGTAGCGATTCATGAACCCCTTCCAAAGGGTAAGTACCTCAAGTATTTGCTCTCACCATCAAGTATTGCACACGAGGGACCGCAGTCGTGAAACAATGCATCATAAGTAAATCCGTAGACGAAAAAGTGATATAACGATCTATGCGTTCAAGGTTTCGCAAATGTGAATATTTGCGAATACAAAGTTTGCGGATGCAACTGCGTCTGCAAGAAGGTTTGCGCACGAGGATTTGTGATAAATATACTTGCGCACAAATATTTGCGTTACGAATTAATGGAGCATGTAGCTCTAACCACCCTCGGATGCACAAATTCGTCAAGTGTGTTTAAATGGCGGTCGAAACTGATATTTAGACGCAAAGCGTTGCAAAACTGATCATATTTGACCTCCAGGTTCATGATTGCTAACATCCGTTGGTTTTCCAACCCTTTTGAAACGTCTGGATAGGTGCGCTCACGTAAACTTAATTTTCTTCACATAGTTTCGCTACGTTCGGAGACGCCTTACGTGTGAGCGGTCCGGCATCACTCGGCGTAGAAGGTTTATGGTGCGCAAGCACCATTTTCCGCAGCTATGACGTGAAGTAACAAACAGACGAAACGGGCGCTAAGCAAAATAAAGACCGCCGTGCAACTGCAATGACATCGGCTCAGCTATACACCAACAAGTGCGCAATACGCCGACACCAAACGACACCGAGTCTCGCAGCTAGGGGTCCCATGCGCCACTATGTAGCATAACTTGCGCTCGGCCGGGGGTCTGAGACAACCGCGCCCGGCCGGGAGAGGGGTTGACTGCACCCCTGGGATCTCCAACTTCCACATGCCGTTCGAGAGAAGCAAAGAAGCCGTTGTCTCGTGAAATAATAAAGAATGCACACCAAGTTTCCTAAACCAGGTCAAATGTAAGGTGACCAGAGGTCACGACAGGAAAAACGGTCGTTTGTTTGCTTGTTAACTTGTTTTTCTTTCATCGCCAACAGAGCAGCACTCCACTTACAGGCAATGTCGTTTAAATAAAGTGCAATAAATACACAGAACACAGTAGCATGAGCTTAATTAAAGGTCAACAACTCAAAGCTAAGCGAAGATGCCACAGAGTTAAAACATACTTGATCGCTTGAGCTCTAAAAATGCCAAAACTGTCATGAAAAACATCCACGCTAATGTTGTTTGCTAAGAAAACGTTCTCAACGCTTGGCGGTCCGCAAAACAGACCACTCTGTACTGTTTGCATATGAACCAGAGGTACACGGAGCAGGCGGGTGCGGGTCGGTCGAGGCGGCACAAGCGAGGGGAAACAGCTTAGCAGGATTTGCGAATATTGTTTACATTGGGAGACGTTTCTCAGGAAGGGTAAATCGTGCTGCATCCTTCGTGCTGCTAGAAATGAGATTTTAAAATGAACCGGAAGCCTGTTATACAAAAGAGAAGCTGCTTACCCCGAGAATGTTTGAGTACGTAAACTAACCAGATACTTGTGCTACACTCGATCGACCCGCATTTTGTGGGAATTGCTGCCCCGTCGTTCTGATAGATGCAGTTGAAACATGTGTTAACCCGTCAAGACGGATTTTGAGGGCACATAAGTAAGCGTTAAGACTGTTGGGAGTTCATTCCGACCATTTGCACTCCCCAACAAGGGTTAGGTCATGTCAGGTCAGGCTTCAAAATTAGTCCACCAGCAGCCTGCCAGAACTATATGTTTTTGTTTTCTTTCACACTGTGCCTTTATGTTCATTTTCTACGGTGCAGAAGGAGGAAAAAAGTTCATTCTTAACTAATCCAGAGGTCAGCTGAGGTCAACTTTCGTCGAATTCATGAAACATCCAAATGAAATATTACGTACCAGCCGGGTAAAAAAGTGGTCAGCATGCTTAGTTCCCTCGACACTAGCAACGTATTTGTAACAAACGACCAGGCACGTTGATGCATGAAATTACACGTTATCAGCTTCTTAAACACAATATAGAGGTAACAACACGCGTCAAACGCGTTTACCTGACCTCTTCGCTACTGGCAACAAAAAGGTCATTGACCTTGGATGGCCTTGCCTTGATAATCTTGGACAACCTTGCATGTCCTCTGTGACCTATTGTGACCTCATTATGCATTATAATAATACCACGTGTTCCGTAAAACGTTCCAATTCTATGTCCAAAATAACCTACAATGACCTTTTACCTATTTCGAAATCAGCATGTGTTTTGCAGAAGGCAGACCATGAGCAGGTAGGTAAGCCAGGCGGGTAGGTCATGATCTAGGCCAATGTCATGTATCCTGTGTTCATATGATGGCTGTAAATGTGATTAGTACTAGTTTCCTCGTATGCAAACAACAAAACTGCACAAAACACATGAATTTGCATTTAGCCACGAAAAATAGCAGAAATTTACCTCAAGTCAGGTCACTGACTCACCTGCATCTAAAAGCCTGAAACGAACAAACTGTATGTACCATAATTTTCCATTAGTACAGCAAGTTTGAGCGATTGCTAAGCGCTGACAAAAGTGTTAGGTGTTGTCAAAGTTTTTGTAGAAGCTACCCCTTTTGCCCCTAGGTCACTCTTTTACCCCTAGGTCACCGGCCCTGCCAGATCAAAAACATCAAATATGCACAAAGGATGACAACTTTAAGATGAACAGGACTTGAAAATTTAGTGTTGCTGCAGGCGTTCGTATTTAGCTGTGCTCGAGACACCGCGGGGGAAAGACGACTGTCGGTCGGGCGCGGGTTAATAGTGCTGTGGGGCACGACTATGAAACATGTTATGTTGCGCCCTGCCATACTGCGTCGAATGTGTGTATACAGTTTAAGCCACAACGTCCTCGCCCAGGTCCATGGTTATCGGAATCTTGTCTTGAGTTTTTCACAACACTCCAGCGCTATTCACAAAACAGACACTCGCTGAGATGAACATATGAATCGCGTGTTTTGTGACCAGTTGGTAAGCAATCAGACTATCAAATGACCTGATTATCAGCTGCTTTTAGCAGTCGTGCAGTGTAGGTGGTGACACGAGAGCTGAATCTTACGGACACGTTTGGGCGCAATGAGCATATGCGTTTGTCCGTAGTGACCACAACGTGCACATGCAATCAGTGAAGAGCTTTCACTCCGGAACAGGTTGCATTGATGCGATGATACAGATTAGCATCATTTTGAAAACAAATGTGTAGATAAATACACTGTGGTGGAGAGAACTCCACGGCATCTAAGTAGTGAAAATGTCACGGTATAAGCTTTTGGAGGCTGCACAGATTTCACATACATGATATCTACACATGCTGCTAGGTTAATGAACTTCCACAGCTCAACCAGCCTCGAAGACAGTTCACCACAATCACATTGAATGCCCGCAAACACAAATAAGTTGCCATGTTAGGGTACGAAATGTCATCCTGTGCTGCCGAATGCGGCATGCAGCATGTCCAAGGCACTCACCAAAAATTAACGGCCGATTAGCGGCACCTGGCGCAAGAGCACGTTCTTACTGGAGCGACGGGGACGAGGGTCAAGGGCCGCACCCAGTGTCACCAGAGGTGGCTGGTATAAAACCGGTGGGGCCCTGCCAGACAGCAACAGTCCACTGTCAGCCTCCAACAGAGCCAAGCATGAGGACCTTCATCATTGCCGCCCTTGTGGCCGTGGCCGCTGCCGGTCGCCCTGCAGTCGCTTCTGGTGGATACGGCGGCGGCTACGGCCGCGCTGAATACTACGAGCCCAGGCCCTACCACTTCGAGTACGCCGTGGACGATCCCCACTACGGCCCCATGATGGCCCAGAGCGAGAAGTCCAACGGCGACGGCGCGGTTGAGGGCTACTACTCGGTCAACCTGCCGGACGGCCGGACCCAGCACGTCAAGTACTACGTTGACCACTACGCCGGCTACAACGCTGAGGTCTCCTACGACGGGTATGCCAACCACCCGGAGCGTCGCGGCTACGGCCACGCCGGCGGCCATTCTGGCCCCCGCTACGTGGCCGCCCCGGTCTACAAGTCGGCCGTCAAGTACAGGGGTCACTAAGCCGCGGCTCCGCCGGAGAGTGGTCAGGTTGTGTCCAGTCAATGTGTGTGAACTGTCGTGTAATATATCGTCTTTAATCTATTCCTCGTGGCATGGCATGCGGAAAAGACGCGCCGCTGGAGGCTTCAGTGAAACTGACAAAGCTCCTGGCGTGCAGTATATTTTGGACGGGTCTTCCGTTCGCACAAGCTCCAGCACAGCTAGCTCGACGTTCGCTACGAACCGGTGTGAGAATGGGACGCCCAAAGACAGATACGGACCACTGTGATCCCCTGCTACTCGCCGGCCCTGAGCCTTGTCTGTAGCTGGTGGCAAGCTACCTGCGGTCGGCGGGGTAGGTGGCTCGTTTTTCAGTAACAGTGGGACAAGCGACACGCCCTAGCCGCGCCGCACGCTTTGCCCCGACCTGTGCGGCCTGCCGCATAGTCAACTATACATGCTGTTAAACACCAGCAAAATGCAAGTTCTTTTTTATATGACCAAACGTTACCGCAGTTCTGATATCACCCCTTGGCATAGCATTTTGTGCAGAAAGTAGTTGTTATCTCCGCACGATACTATCCCCGCAAAGTTATTTCGCGAGTTACGCGGCAGATATGCTCAGTCCCGGTCACTTCTGGATAGGAAGTCTAGAAGAATGGTCACGGACATTTTCAAAGCCGAGCTGACTTCCCCACGCTTCATGTCCATACGGAAGATTCTGTAACATCGCAAGCTCTCACACCATATTATGGAACGCTTATTTGTCTCCAGGACCATCCGTACCAGCACAGTATATGGCTTGAACGCAATCGTCTCAGACGCTCATTACCGGCTCCATGGTGGTAAGGAAGACTTAGCATGTCACGTAATGCCACAACACAGCCGCCCGGCGCCAGCTCGACCTCACGTTGTATTGTTAACTGGCCGCCACTGCCGAACCAGGCCCCAGACGCTATATACACATTATTTCTGGGACGCGGTCCCTCATGACCTACCACCTACCGTCATGTGTCCAGCGATCGGACCAACCGAGCTATGTGGGAGGACACTATCGAGGGAACGTAACCTATGACACCACCTCTGCAGTGCTATAAGGGACCGGACCTTGTCGGTTTCCTGGCCGTTTCGGAGATAACTGTTTTAGGAGCGTGTTCAGAAGCCTGACCTGCGATAACTTAACTGAAGCTCACTGAATGGCCGCTGACCGTCCATAACACCCATGGCCATCTCGGGACTCCTGCCATGGACTTCTGGCAGTCTGAAGTGCACGGAAGAGATATACCCAATCAATGTAAGTAGGCAAACATTTCACGGCACGAAATGCTTATGTGGCCAAACCTCGCAAACTTTGTTCAAAATGGGGAAAATGAATATGACATTCACTGAGACCCAAATTTACTTCGCCGCGGGCGCGCAAAACATGATAAAGCGGGCATCTACATCATGACATGGTTTAAACCTCCTGATTTTACACATGGACCTTGATCGTTTCATTGTCGGCATTTGTTCACGTGCGCATAAAAACACAGCAGTTTGCTAACGAAACAACGCTTCTATGCTACCGCTTAGCAAACCCGGGTACAAATGAAGCATAGCACGTTACCTCGGACAAACGAACACGAACACAGATTGAATAGCATCGAACGCACATCTGCCAGAAAAACCTCATGAAAATGTCAGTGAGTAGACTAGTTTTAAGTTAGCCGACTGGGTGCAAAACTGATCGTTACGAAATTATACACGGATTTCAGCCTCAGACACACGCCGTTTAAAATTCAAAACACCTATGCGTCACACCAAGTGTTCGGAACAGGGTTCCGCTTCATAGAAACCCCACGGAAGCAACACTGCCCCGTTTCCCAAAGTAAGCAAACTTACCCGAACGCATGTCCCCAGCAAGGTACCTATCAACAGTTGTCATAACACCTCTTTTCACCACACAAATAACACCCACAGTTACCTATCTCCCGGTGGTGCCCTGGAACACAGCTGTGACGAATCTGCAGTTCTATATAATGTAGCTGCTGACATAGGTTAAGTATCAAGACAGCGGAACTCTGCCTTCAACGTGAGAACGGAGCGCTGGGGACGATGGGCTTGTGTCAACAGAGCTTCTCACACACTCCACTCCAGCAATCTATCATCTTGCCGCATTGAGGTCGAACAGAGCCGCATGCAAATATGTGCAGAACTAAGTTCGTTCTCTTTATGTATGCATTTGCAAGCAGCCAACCGTGAATGCACATTGTGTAAAGACATTAATAATAGCCTTATTCCTCGTAGAAAAAAAACAGGAAAATGGAGGGATCGATGCGTTGATATTTCGGTAATATGCCTTCATCGAAACGAAATCAGTACTACATCACATTTGATATTCGTTTTGATAAAAGCATGTTACCGAAATATAAACACATCTATCTTTCCATTCTTCTGGGTTTTCTACGAAGAATAAGGCCATTACTACTTGTATTATCCCACTTGCATAATGTTCCTCGCAAATGCACCTAGCAACTTAAAGATTTCGTTAAGGTTCATTTTGCATACCATGACAGTCATTGATCATATGCTCGATGGAGCCTGAATCCTGCTGGCCATCTCGCAGCCCAGACTATATATATATATATATATATATATATATATATATATATATATATATATATATATATATATATATACACGTGTGTATATGTAGTTGTGCAGTCGTCACTACTTTCAGTGCAAGGAGAGCCACAGGTTTGGGGATCAGAATGTTGCCATGGAAATTTCAACAAATATGCTCTGGAAAAAGCCCATGTTTGTTTGACAAAACGATTTCCGTATTAGGTACAATCTAGCTTGCCTGCATTTCGGCACCGGCATCCGCCAGCTGTCCCCAATATAATCCTCAGGCGGCGTAATAAGATTTCGTCGGGATTTGCCACGTTTCGCAGACTGGGCCAATATGGAAATAACGTACCTTCCTGAGGCACCATGATGGATGGAGCCATACAAGGTCCAATGACGCCTCTGCCAAGAATTGTGTCACCTTATAGCAAAGTACCTAGATATCTTCTCAAGTTGTCTCGACAAACTGTATGTACCAAATTTTGTCGTCATCTCATAGCATCCAGGGAACGTGCCTACTGCCTTCCTAGTTCTTGGGAACCCAAAAATTCCCAAGAACTTTCAAGATTAGACGGGTACCTATCAGCGAATCGTAATTTTACCTTCCCTGCGGGTCGCTAACCTTACGCATGTGCCTAAGTCCCACGGGACCCACGGGATGGGACCCGTGGGCCCAGGGGATGTGACGCATTCTATGCTTGTAACACAGGCAGACATACTAAGAATGGTTTTCAGCACTCGTTCCCATACATCACTTGAGGTGTAATGTTGAACTTCAGCGAAATGTGGCCCCCACGCCCAACTCCGTCTCCGCTTGCCAAAAGATAGGCCTGCACCAGGCATACCGACAAGATGAGCGCTGCCCGGCCAGTTCACGCTGGCTACCTAGCCTTACGTACTCACCAAAACGAATAGATCACCGGACTCACAGCTTCGTTGCACACGTCAAAAATTAAATTCAAATCATAAAACCAAACCCACCGTAACACACCCACCTCTTTATAACCGTCGAATCACCGTGCACAGAGCCATCCCGCATACCAGCATGCCGAGTTCTGCTGTATTTGTAAACAAATATGCCTTTACTCAAGAAGAATAACCGTTGTTTGCTAAGCATGCCATTCTCATAGTCTTCGTGTATTTAATTACTTTCGTATCCATGATTAACTACAATAGATTTATAATTTCAATTAAAGTGATACCTAGTCTCATGATGACAGTGGATTCTTGTCTCAGATGTAAACCCCAATATTAAACAATAAAAATGTAAGATAACACACTTGTGGTAACCAGCTACGAATATGAAGTGTTGGTGACAAACATGGAAAGCGTTAATGTTATAAACGTAACAGTGGAAGGGGGTCACAGGGTGTCGTTCTTTCGTTGTTTGGATTCGTATGCGATGCCTTGCCAGGTGTAAAACAATCAGTTTCTGCCTTTGGGTAGATGCAAATGGTCTAGACATGCTTATCTTCAACATGTTGTGCATTGTATTGTGTCTGCTCCCATCAGTAAACGCGTACTCGTACATCAAAGGTAAGACATTTTGTATATTATAATTGTAACATCGTTTGTTGCCATTAAGCTGCAGGGATCAGCTCCCAAAGTATTGTTGAGTTGTTGTGCACACCACCTTGGTACAGGAGCATGGTACAATTAGTTTACATGTGTAGATGTGTACACAAGATTTGCTATGGCTGAGGTGATAAGACAACTTGCTTATATGTGAGATGAAATGCATGTAATCCAGGGCCTTTTGAATTTTTCATATACAGTGGCATAGCTAAGGGCTGGAATGGGTTTTTTGGCATAATATGCATCCCCTGGGAAGTGGTGATGACCCCACCAGGAACAGACTTTAAAAAACACAGCCCCATTTTGTCAGCAATTTCAGTGCATCGTATGATCTTTGTATGGTCTGACCTTGTATGATCTGATGTGGTTCCCTCCTGGTTTAATTCTTGGGTATGTCCATTGGGAATATGAAGATAAGGTGGCAAGATATCAAGCCACATATATTTAATGCCCTCCCTAAATTTATGACAAAATGTTGTGAGGTGTATGTCTAACACTTCTAAGCAGTTTATTCCAGTGCCAACTGTCTTGCAAAGAACATGTGTTGTAGGCTCTCAAAATTATTTGTAGCATAGACATTTGTTATGGGACATCTATATGTATGGTCACATTCAACCTGTGTCATTGGCTTTGTGAAATCTTACAGGATATTCATTTTTGGCAAGATATCTGTATCACCACATTCAACTTAAGGTGCATGTAACTGCCATCCTAGGGTTGCATCCTATTCCGTTTTATTGGGATTCAATCACCAATAATCTGATTGCCTGGTACCTGACTCTAACCCATAGCAAAGGCTGAAACAACTTTCCTGTTCCATCCTGATTCCATCCTGACCCAATGGAAATATTTATTTTGGCAACAGTCACAACTCATTCTGAAGTTGGGCACAGGTCTGATATCTCCAGTGTCCATTGCAGGGGAGACTCCGACTGGGGCGCCCTGCCCAGGCTACTACTGCGGCCATGTTCGTCAGGACAATGGCAACTGGTTACAATTCCTGCTAGTCATGTCCTCGTGGTTACAGATCTCCTGTGTCCATTACAGGAGAGACCCCAACTGAGGCACCCTGCCCAGGCTACTACTGCGGCCGTATTCGTCAGGACAACGGCAACTGGAGCTCCTGCCAGTCATGTCCTCGTGGTTACAGGTTAGCAGGCCCATTGAACCTTATGAGGACTAGCGAGCTTTCAAGTTTGGCCTATGATGCAGGCACAGAGACCATGTTGTGCCAGGGCCAGGACCTGACAGGCTCAAGTTTGCTCCTCATGCTATTCACAGTGGATTGTTAAGGTGTGTTAATTGCTTTACCTGCACATGCACATCAGCAGAAGGTCAATGCTTATACGGCATTATTATGTCAATGCTTCCAATGCCAACCCCACAGCTTTTCAGCTGTCAGAGCTTTCCACCAAAATCCCCCCGCCCCCATCCCCTGTATAGACGTATAAGGAAGGTGACATGGATGTTTCTGATTGCAAAGCATACAGCTCTGCTGACCTCACGTGATCTTGGCCGCTTCTTTGTTGCAGAACGAATGAGTCGTCTTCTTGCGCGCTTTGTGATTCAGAGCCGACCTTCTACGATGGAATGTACCTGGGGTTTATGGCCATGCTTTCTCTGCTGATGCACTGGTACTGCATCGACAGGCACGCCATGAGTGGGAGGTAAGAGGCCTGGGACTAAGACAGTGCTCCCGCAGGACGCGCTTACCGCCGCTTGTGCGCAAATGTATGATATTACATATTTGGAAAACTAAATTATGTTTATTCGAGCACAACACAAGAATGGACTCAATGTGTCCAAATAGCGAAGTTCATCAGCGATAAGTGGCTTTACACTGGATCATGGCATGCAGTGCACTCATGTTGTTGCCGGTAACACCAGCACCTAATCCTCACGACATCGTACATCAGGGGACCATTCTTGGGTTCGTCAGGTTTCGTCCATCATGACGCGGCGCGCTTTGGTCAGCGTGAGTCCACGCACTCGTCCCACTGTGGTCGGCGCCGTGCCGCGGCCACATTCCGCTTCAATGAACGGTACCCAGTGGTCCCGGCCGGGAGTGCAGCACGTGACCTTGTGACCTCCGCTGACCGTCAGTACCCCTGTGACCGGCAGGTTTACGGCCGGTATTCTGGTGCAGCACGTCTGTGCGCTGGCCGAGTCCGTGCTGGCCGCCGTCGGCACGCTGCTGCTGACCGAGCCGGTGGGCGCTTTCCGCGTGACCTCGTGCCGCGTGACCTCGCTGGCCGACTGGTACACGGTCGTCTACAACCCGACGCCCAACTACGAGCAGACGCTCAGCTGCACCCAGGAGGCCGTCTTCCCACTGTGAGTGGGGCGCCGCACGAGCGAAGCAAGGCAGGCCGCAGTGACGCCGCTGCTGGAGGTGTCCAGCACGCTAGTGCTCGAGGGGATGATGATTGACTGAACGTGCTGGGCATTACTCAACATGTTTGAGTGTGCGTCTGAATCTATATGAGGCTCGTGGCCAAACAAGGGCCCCGTTCGGTCTGCCCTCAGCAAGATTGCTGGCTGGAATGCGTGACGTCACGCGTGCTGACAGCGTGTGATGTGTGGGCTGACAGCAAAGTTTTTAAATTCGACTTTCCCTCCTTCTTTTACTTTTTACTTCGGTCCACACACAGACTCTGACTTACCGCTGGCCTTGACACACTGCGTACAAAGTGGGTTTGGAATTTTGGCTCCTGTTCCGGTACTACCATTATCTATCCCATCCGCATAATGAGTGCTTCCTCCCATTTCCAATTCATTTCAATTTCGTCCCTTTCATTTTGAATGTTTACTTCTTACACGATTAGTTAACGGGAGCGACGCAGCCACACATCACACCAATCACTGTCACTTACCTGTGCATGGCTACTGTCGGCGTTTTAATTCCCTCCTTATTTATTTTACGTCGCATTTCCTCCTAAATTAGGGACGAGTGCCCCCACCCCACGTAACGTACTCGCCAACGCAAGAGCTACCAAATCAAACTCCCGCTTCAGTAATTTGTGAACTTGATAGCGCTTTCTCCCCTTGCTTACAGGCTGACAAAAAATCGCGTTTGCTGCGCACTGCCTTGACTTGACAATTCTTGCTGAACGTTCCGTTTCGTGCGTTAAAGCACATTCGTGCATTCGTGGTGTGAATGCGTGCAACGTCGGCCATGGTCGGCGCCACGCGGCCGCACGCCTGTGATCCATGACGTCGCCCGTTCGACACCGGAAGCAGCCGCCATCGTGTGCAGCGCTCCTCTTCGCTCACGTGGTATCGGTAGCCAGTTGACCGACACGCCTCCGCCGCAGGTACAGCATGGTGTTCCTGTACTACACGCTGTCGCTGGTTGCCATGGTGACGGTGCGGCCGTGGCTGGCCGTGCGCTACCTGCCGGGCCGTGGCTCGCGCGCCGTCTTCACCGCCCTCTACTTCTTTCCGACGCTGGTGCTGGTGCACGCCGTGTTCGCCGGCATACTCTGTGAGTGGTTCCCCGCTGGTGATCGTTGCGGGCGGACGCTGGGTGAGGGGGTCTCTGTGAGTGGTTCCCCGCTGGTGATTGTTGCGAGCGGATGCTGGGTGAGGTTCTCTGTGATTGGTTCCCCGCTGGTGATGGTTGCGAGCGGACGCTGGGTGAGGCTCTCTGTGAGTGGCTTGTGGTGGCCTAGAAAGTAGTGGGCATCTTGTAGATTCCGACGATTGGCCCCGGAGGGAAGTTCACGGACCTGAAGAGAAAAGTCTGCTTCCAGTCTGCATGCTGGGTCTGAATGACCCCTGGCTGCTTTTTAACCATGCGTTTTTTTCATGGGAGGACAGGGTAAGGGATGGCGATAAGCATGCTCGTAACTTTGTCCTTGTCATGCCACGGGCTATGTCTCAGCATAAAGAGCTTGAGGCTGGTGAAATCTTGATGAGAAGGTCCAAAAGTTAGAGGCAGCTTCAGACCTTGTTTTGTTATGGGACAAGCCACACATGTTACTTGTTTGTTATTCGTAGTACTTCGCCTATGATGTCTTTCCCCTTTGGAAGCTTCATTGTTGATGTCCTGTGAACTTTTAACCAGTTCAAGCATTTGTTCATCAGACGTCATGTCAATTACACATCCAGCATGGAAGGCTTATGCTGAACAGTACGGGTTTTCTGTGAACCACAACTATATGAACAGCTGGTAATATGTCAGACTTGCAACTAGCTCAAACACATTTGCTGGTGGCTGTATTACTATGGTATTAGCAGTTAGGGGCTGACCAGGAATTACTTAGCGCATTATTGTTGTTTCAGCCCAACCCCTCCCAGGTTACGCACAAGGTACACTGAGTGGAAACCCTTCCTCCCCTTTGGTTACGCCGTGTCACGCGTAACTTCCCAAAAAGATAATGTCCCTTTGACCGGGCGTGTTGCTTGTCATGAGGTTAAGTCAGTGTTATCGTATTTTAAGGTCTTAAAGTATGTGTTTTTTTAATGAGCATGACTTGCAGCCATATCTGGGCTTAACGTTACGTTGTTCCAACTTTTTTCCTTTTTTACGGTTGTCAGGTTCCATCACCCCACTCCCTCTCCGTTGATGCCCGACGTAATGCGTCCCTGATGCTTCCTTTAATGAACTGACCATCCCTTACCCCATATATGGACGCCTCTTATGCTACGCGTTTCTTAGACACCTTTGCCCTGCGTCAGATTCCGCCCCGCGTATCGCAGACGCGGTGTTCCTCTGCACAGGTGCACCCCGCATACCCGCCGTGTCGTTTGACGACCACGTGCCCGTCTTTCGGCAGACACGATCTTCCCGTACCTGGTGATGGTGGTGTCGGTGATCTCCGTGGCCGTGCACTTCGCCTGCCAGCTGAACCAGCAGATGAGCTACCTGCTGCGCTCGACGGTGTCGGAGCTGCGCAACACCGTCATCGTGCTGGGCCACTGGCTGCTGCACGCCTACGGCATCATCGCCGTCACGCAGCTGACGCGGCCGCTGCTGCACTCGCTGATGCTGCTTCTCGTCCCCTTCCCCACCATCTTCTACATCGTCACAGTCCGCTTCACCGACCCCACGCGCACCGGCAGTACGTGAGGTGGCGCCGGCGGCGCGCAGACTTTTATAGATGGTGCTGGCCGCGCGCAGGCTCGTTATAGGTGGCGCTGGCGGCGCGCCCGGGACTTCGTCCACACGTGGGGTGGTGCGTTCGGGTCACGTGTGTGGCCATGGCCTGGGCGCTGGTCGCCATGCGGGAGACGCGTGGTAACCGTCGTGTCACGCCGACCGTGCGTGCACCACCTGCCACTGAGTGTGTCTGTTTTGTGGTGTTGCTCGGCCTCGGGTCCGGGCTGGGATGACGAAGCATGGCAGTGGGACTGGACTTGCCCTCGTGTCATAGCTCGCCGTCCTGGACCGCTCGCAGCGTGCGGTAGTGCGCTGTTACGCGTGACGCGGTCTCAGCACGGCAGGCTGTGTGCCCCTGCACGTGGGATCTGTCGTGGAGCTGGCGCTCTGCCCGCGAGTGTCGCTGTCACCGAACTTGCGCGCGGTGGAAGCGCTGAGCTGCACATGGTCGATCGGTGCATGGTGGCGGCGTTCCGCGCTGCTAGTGCCACATACCAACGGAAGGTGGCGCCATTGGAAGGGTGCCCTCCAGAAACAGTGCATCGCAATAGGCCAACATTGGCGTGCTGTCGTCGCCCGAGTTTACCGAACGTGCAAGGCAATGTCTCCGTCGTCATGGTAACGAATGAGCGGTACGTGCTCTGCTCGAAGCAACTGCTCGAAGGAGCCTGTTGATCCGTGGTGGGTATCCGCACATTTTCAGGTGTTTTAGGAGTGGTGTACGTGTGTGAGATCGATTTTGAGTAATGTCTCATGATTATCGTGCTTTCATCATGTCTTTGATGTACTCTACAGTGAAGTCCACATTGATGTGCGATGTCCTCCGTGTCCGTGGGTCATCTTATGCCGTGTAATATAACACGTGCAATCATCGAAGTGAGCTTTATGCGTGTTTAACCGGGCTGGCTTCGCCAGGGGCTTCGCCGCGGGGATGGCGTGTCCCGTGCAGGAGTTGTAGAGTCGAGCTTCTCAAGTGCGAGGTGGCATAGAAAGAACGGGTCCAAAATAATTACGCTCCTCCCCCCCCCCCCCCCCCCCCCCAGCTACCAGTCGTTGGCGGTACTGTTGGTTATCGCCAGAGCACTTTTGAAATCATTTCGCTCTGTTCAGTGTCTTCTGGTGTGCAGTCTCTTATAGAATGTCTCCAAATCACCCGTCCTTGCATCATCTTTCGTGTTTTACAGCCCTTAGCATTGTATCCTTTCGACTCCGGCGGGTCTGCGCGGCTGCACAACAGCGCTGCCTCATTTTTTTGTTTTGACTCGGTGATGAAACGGGCATTCTTTCAGCCGTGACTGCGTCGCTGTCAACAGCGCGCCAGCGGTCCCTTTCCCAGCTGGACACGAACCTCCGGCAGTGCGCCCAGCCCAGCGGCTGTGTCGCTGGTTGCCGATCGGCCGGCCAGCGAGCCGCCGACCGCGAAGGCAGCGACCCGTCAACCGACCGGCTTGCCTAACCTGCCGCCATCAGCGCAGACGTCAACCAGCGGCGTAATCACCGAAGCCGTGTCTTTCATGTAGCCGTACGGGCTAATCTGGCCGCACGGGCGCTGTTTTGCAAGTTTATTTTCGCCTGGCAGCAGGTGGGGAGGCGTGAGTCGGCAGCCCAGTGACGGCCGAGCCCCCGTTGCGACACGCCCGGCCGGCCTGCGTGACGTCATCGCTGCCGGACGGTGACGTCACGGCCGCAGGACGGTGGCGTCGGTGCCATGTGGTCGTGTTTGAGCGCTAGAGTCAACACGTGCCGCCGGAACCCGCCCGATCTGTCGAGACACACTGACGCGGCCTGCTCCGACGCAGTTCAGGGATGGGCGCAATTGGGTGAAATGTGGTTCGCAGCTTGTGATATGGCGGCATTAAATCAATTGCCTTCGCGGAGCCGGCGTATCCTGTTCCATGAACATCACGGGCGTGGGTGTGACATTGAGCGATCGAGTTGCAAAATTGCTGTGGGGCCGGTGAACCCGAGCTCCTCGCGGCGTTTTTACAGCAACGCAGCCCAGCGTGCTTCAAACACCGCATATCTACATGATCCGTTTGCTTAGGGTGGCCCAAGCTATGGTTGAAAGTGGAAAACATTTAGGTTCGGTATAGACCAGAGCCTCCGTCTTTTCCAGAAATACTGGCAAAGCTTCACTCCAGTTTCTAAGGAGTTTCCCTCCAGTTCCTAAGCAGTCTCATTATTCCCCTAGCCCACATTCGTGCAGACAATATGCCTTTTGGGAAACATAACGTGCCTGGGATGTGTTGTCTGGAAGGCAGTTGTTATTCATCTGGGTGTCACTTTCATGGGCCATGAATGCATCTTGGTGCTGGGGGCGACTCAAAAATGGCAAATTAGCACGGGAAAATGATTTTTCCGCCTCTGGAGCAGGTACCTGTCAGAAATATTTCTCTAATTGCATTGGCAAGATCGGGCCGCTCGATATAGCGCCGCACAGACAAAGCCAACGAAAGTCCCTCAGCGAAGCTAAGAACGAGCAACGCCCTCACTGAGGTCGCCATCTGGAGCACTAGGTCAGGGGGTCAGGATCGTCCCGGCCTTTGTCGAGCCGACGCGTTCACGTGCGGCGCGAGGGCCCGGCCCCTCCCCCGCCCGACAACGCGGTCGATCGTCCCACCGGCGGGCCGCCGTTTTTTCGCCGCTGGCCTCGTCGCGAACGATGTTTTTAGCGGCCGCCGACGGCGTCCGATGGAGGAGTCTCGTCGGCGCGGCGGAGCGCCAAGGGAAACGGGTCGGTGGCCGCTCTTTGTGGCGGCGACGCGGCGGCCCGGAGTTTCGGCCGGTTCGATGGCCGGAGGACGGCAGACGTGTCAGAGAGCGGCGGCGTTGGTCCGTGCTGCCTGCAGGGCCCGCTCGCTGCCAGCTTGCGACTCTGGACTGCACTGAGACCCCGCCGGCGCGACGGGGCTGAGCCTGAAGTGCAGAGCTCCTTCAGATCGGACGCTGTTGCGGTGATAAGGCACGCTGCGCATTGGGGCAGACATCGGTGAGGCGGTTAGGCGCCAGTGAGACCCCTGCTTGCTGCGGTTTCGAAAGTTCGGCTGTGAAATAACTCGGATGCTGGTTTGGGCTTGTCATGGTCAATGGTTTTATCGAAGCGTTTTTACAGATCGTGAAACTTTCGCAAAATGTTTGCTTTATCCTGATAGCGTCTTCAGAGTTTACTTACGTCTATCCCCAATACAGTGATGTTTCCGAACCTAATGTCGGATTGTTTGCAGGTCTCGGGTTTGTAATAGGTGTGTATGACTCACAACAAACCGCACGCCTGATAGCGTCAGCTCAGCCCCGACGTCTGGACCGCGCCTTCCCGCCAAGTCAACAAACACTGAACTGAGCTTTAGTTTACATGCGGTGTCTGCGAGGCGTACGCGCATTAGAGCCAGTGGCTGCTCGCAGTGGAGCACATGCTTAAAAGCTTGCAGGACAGTTCCGTGAGCCTATTGCGTGGTTGTTGAAGAGAGCGCCAGCGCTGCGTCGCAATTGCTTACACTGCGCCGTAGACATATGTAGAAATATAGCTTAGTGGTGTCATTTTCATCATGCAACCTTTGCTTCCAGTGATGAAATCGGTTCCGTGTTCTGAGGCAGGGTCAGAATTCAGGGGCGGTTGTAGCCTGGAGTCTTGGGAGGGGGGGGGGGGGGCAACCCTTCGTCGGCAGCTGGCTGGTGTGGGATCCCAGGTCCAGTGCACTTATCAAACACGATGTTTGCGCCGAGTATGACTAAGCCGCGTCAACATGCGTTTTGTTTTGACATCAAATCGCCGCCCAACTTTTTTCATGAAGTTGTTTCCGAAACGAAAATAAATGTTTGATACTGCACCATCAGAGTTAAAACAGACGGTAAGTAACCGAAACTTTTGTGAAGTTCCGGGAATGTTTTGGGGGGCCAAACATACTCTCAGAGTTTTTTGGGGGGTCATGGCCCCGTGCCCCCCCCCCCACCCCAGGATCTGCCTATCTCGGAGTTGACTTCGCCGAAGGTGGAGCTGATGTTAGGACACGGCTGGGACTATCGGACGTGCACCCTCTGTCATCCGCTTCGCGTTCTGCAAAACACGTGGGCGTTTTCATTGGAAGACACCTCTCTTTGTCGGAGTGTGACAGGGACACCGTATAAAGATATGCTGGTGAAGGAGATTATGGAATAGTCCTCTATCGCCTTCGTTTATGAGGAGCATACGTCTGATGAGTACTTTTGGACCTTGAGTAATGCGATGTGCATCCTCTTCTTTGCGATACTCCTACCCTTACATGAGGCAAACTGTCAAAATTATCTCGAAGGGCATAGGAATCGGAATGAGATGGGCTCATGATGATTGATAGGAACATTGCCAGCAATGTGCACAAGCAGACTAAGTTAAAAGCGAAGTGAGCAACTGTAGAAAACCGGTGACTGTTGTTCACCAGGTCGTTGCATATGACGTATGCATAACTGTGTATGCGACTTATACAGATATAGTGATACAGATAGTATGACCGCTCATGGTGGCTTTACCCGACTTATGGGAAAAGCTTAGCTCCTTCCGCGCAGTCAGTATGGACACCATTGCAGATATCATAGATGAACATCTTGAACGCATTCACTCTCTAACAGATGCTCATCTACATTTCTTTGTGAGTGACAGCTTACACGACGCCTCGTATCGTGAGTGGTCGGGAAACATGGCGATGCCTCACTGCCAGCTTTTAATTGCGAGGCTCTTGAAACGAACTTAAGAAAGTTGTAGTTGACCCGACAACAGCGACCACAACTAACCACAACAATTACAAAAGCCTCATGGCGATGCCGATCTGGAGACCGGTCTCACGGCGGTAGATGCTGGAGCGTATCGCGCATCTGAGGTATTGCCCGCGCCGCTTTCGCCAGCGCCGGCGGTCCAGCCTGTCATGGACCTGGTGTAGTCCGCCGACCGGCGCTCCGGGACCATGGCTGCCGAGGCACCCGGACCGGAGGCAGTTGTAAACTGGATCATATATTGCTGCATGTTTCGCTCTCGATCCAGTCGTGTGCTTGACAAAAGCATGTCAAGACAGCAACATGATTTGTGTTTGAACAGAGAGTCCCTCAGACGTACAATAAAGGGAAGCAAACCAGTAAAAGCTCCGGTTTTAGCAGCAGGTGTGGTTGCTTATGATACGCTGAGCCTATTTTCATCATGATGGTGTTTTCCCGAACGCGTGGTTGTCCGATAGATTATCAACGATGCATTGTAAGTGTTTTTTTTCTGCGGCATGAGCCTGCAACAAACAAAGTTCTGATGCCTCCGCTTCTCCCCTGACGAGGTTCAGGCCTGCGGATGCCACGGTTGAACCACCTCAATGCATTTTGAGACAGTTCCGGAACAAATCACACTGAAGCGGTCAGCGCAAGATTAGCCGATTCCGTCTAACATATGCCTGCACTGCCCCGTCCAGGTTTAGTTTTTGCAGAACACCCGAGAGTTTTTTCAACAGGCGACACGGTTGACCTTACCCGGTGTATATACAGGCGCCTAGCGACTGGCGCGGTGGAAAGGCCGGTGGCACTCTGCGATTATGAAAAGGGCACAGTGCCAAGCCAGCAGGTTACACATATTCGTGCACGTTATCCTCGTAGATAGAGAAGTTGTTTCTTGTGCAATGCTGGACGAATATGGATCCCCGCAGATTCGCCCGCGCCCTATCGGGCCTCCCGACTATCTGTCCTGGGAAGGTGGGGAATCCAATCCACCCGTGCCCTGCGAGCGGTTAGTAACTGACCAGGATAGAACGACACGACAAAGACCCCCGAAATGCTTGTGATGGGCATTCCCCGGTGGTATCAGTTTCTCCATTAGTAATATATCCCCAGTATGAGCTTTGTTCACGGCCAATGTTCTGCAATAGATGACCTC